TCAACAGTGCAAAACTGCAATTACTTTTGCACCAACCTAATATCTATTCTTTTTCAGATTCTTTTCCCATATAGCTTATTACAGAGTATTGAGTAGAGCTCCCTGTGCTATATAGCAGGTCTTTGTTGATTATTTATTTTATATATAAATATATATAGGTTAATGCTATTTTTAGTGTAAAAACGAGCATGAAAGTGGCCAGAAAAGGAAATGTACCATCAGTCAGTTCAGTCGCTCAGTCGTGTCTGACTCTTTGCGACCCCATGAATTGCAGCACGCCAGCCCTCCCTGTTCATCACCAACTCCCGGAGTCCACCCAAACCCATGTCCATTGAGTCGGTGATGCCATCCAGTCATCTCATCCTCTGTCGTCCCCTTCTCCTCCTGCCCCCAATCTTTCCCAGCATTAGGGTCTTTTCCAATGAGTCAACTCTTCACATGAGGTGGCAAAAGTATTGGAGTTTCAGCTTCAACGTCAGTCCTTCTAATGAACACCCAGGACTGATTTCCTTTAGGATGGACTGATTGGATCTCCTTGCAGTCCAAGGGACTCTCAAGAGTCTTCTCCAACACCGCAGTTCAAAAGCATCAATTTTTTGGAGCTCAGCTTTCTTCACAGTCCAACTCTCACATCCACACATGACTACTGGAAGAACCATAGCCTTGACTAGACAGACCTTTGTTGACAAAGTAATGTCTCTGCTTTTAACTATACTATCCAGGTTGGTCATAACTTTCCTTCCAAGGAGTAAGTATCGTTTAATTTCATGGCTGCAGTCACCATCTGCAGTGATTTTGGAGCCCCCCAAAATAAAGTCTGACACTGTTTCCCCATCTATTTGCCGTGAAGTAATGGGACTGGATGCCATGATCTTAGTTTTCTGAATGTTGAGCTTTAAGTCAACTTTTTCACTCTCCTTCACTTTCATCAAGAGGCTTTTTAGTTCTTCTTCACTTTCTGCCATAAGGGTGGTGTCATCTGCATATCTGAGGTTATTGATATTTCTTCTGGCAATCTTGATTCCAGTTTGTGCTTCATCCAGCCCAGCATTTCTCATGATATACTCTGCATATAAGATAAATAAGCAGGGTGACAATATGACATACTCCTTTCCCAATTTGGAACCAGTCTGTTGTTCCGTGTCCAGTTCTAACTGTTGCTTCTTGACCTGCATATAGATTTCTCAGGAGACAGGTAAGGTGGTCTGGTATTCCCATCTCTTGAAGAATTTTCCATAGTTTGTTGTGATGTACTCTGCATATAAGTTAAATAAGCAGGGTGACAATATACAGCCTTGACGTACTCCTTTTCCTATTTGGAACCAGTCTGTTATTCCGTGTCCAGTTCTTTAAGCCTTAATAAAAAGGTTATTTCACTTAAAATTAATGTTGCAAAATTTAACACAAAGCTACAATAATCAAATCAGTACAATGGTACATCAATGTATAATAGATGAATGGGACAGAGTATCACATCCAGAAAAAGACTCTTGAATATATGTAAATTTAATATCTGATAAAAGCAACTTTTTAAACCCATAAGGAAAGGACAACATTTATATAAATACCATTGGGACAACTGGATAGGTGTATTGGAAAAAAGAAGTAGATCCTATACATCAAAACAAATTTTAGATGGATTTCTAAAATAGAAAGACAAAGTTATAATAGTATTAAGGGGCTTCCCAGGTTGCCTGCCTGCGAATGCAGAAGACATAAGAGACTTGGTCAGAGGGTAACAGGCAGGAAGGCTAGGGGTCCCTAAGCAGAGGAACAAACCACAACTGTCACACTGTTTTTCCCCCTTCTCTATACACATTTAAAAAGTTTCTTTTAAAACTCTGTGTTGCCATGACGACACCTGGTTCCACCTGAACTTAACTTTTCTCAAACCTTTAGCTAACCAATGCATTTTTCTTATGGAAATGTTTTTCTTAAGCTATATTAATGAACTACGTATTTACCTTAGAATCTGCCTTTCTTCAAGTTGGTTCTGCCTAAGACTCAGAACCGATAATGGCTCAACAAACCAGTATGTTTTACTCATGGAAATGTTCTCTTAATCTATGTTAACAGAACTATGCATTTACTTGGAAATCTGCCTTCCTTCAAGGTTCATGTCAGTTGTTTTATAGCCCAGGATGACTCACCTTGTGCCAATGCTATCTCAAAATGCATGTTGTGGGTAAGGGGCCTGATGCCATTCTGTGAATTTTCAGATGTTTCCTTTTTCTAACTGTTGTAGCCACACCTTCTGGGAAACAGACTCACTCAGAAAGACAATGCAGATAGTGGAGTGCAGTTTATTACACTGGCGGGCCCAAGGCAGAGTCTCCTCTTAGCCAAGGACCCTGACCAGCATTTGCGAAAATCTTTTATACCCCATGTGTACGTGTCCAAACCCACCACCACAAATTCCTCGAGACTTACGTAAACAAAGGAAGGGTAAATACAATCCCAATAACCCCATCATTCATGTGCCATGTACTTAGGCAGTTAAACAATTAGCCAATAATCAATAAGCCCGAGGTTACACTCCGATAGGTACAGAAAATTTATGGCCTCTCTGGAGGAAGGGGTGATTAGTGTATGTGTTCTCTTAGGTGAGGAGTAACCTGGATATGATCTTCAAGGTTCCCCTGTCTGGAGGGGGTCTTATCCTTCTGTTGTCATTTCCACATGCACTAAACACAGAGTTCAGAGTCCACTGGAGAGGTGGCCGAGCATGATCAGCATGAACAGGCCTGAGATGGAGTCCAGGCCCTATGAATTCCTTCTTCATAATTAACAACTTATTAATAGGTATATTAACAACAACACAAGAGAAGACTCTACACATGGACATCACCAGATGGCCAACACTGAAATCAGATTGATTCTATTCTTTGCAGCCAAAGATGGAAAAGCTCTATACAGTCAGCAAAAACAAGACTGGGAGCTGACTGTGGCTCAGATCATGAACTCCTTATTGCCAAATTCAGACTTAAATTGAAGAAAGTAGGGAAAACCACTAGACCATTCAGGTATGACCTAAATCAAATCCCTTATGATTATACAGTGGAAGTGAAAAATAGATTTAAGGAACTAGATCTGATAGAGTGACTGATGAACTATGGACGGAGGTTCGTGACATTGTACAGGAGACAGGGATCAAGCCCATCCCCCCAAAAAAAAGAAATGTAAAAAAGCAAAATGGCTGTCTGAGGAGGCCTTACAAATAGCTGTGAAAAGAAGAGAAGCAAAAAGCAAAGGTGAAAAGGAAAGATAAACCCATTTGAATGCAGAGTTCCAAAGAAGAGCAAGGAGAGATAAGAAAGCCTTCCTCAGCATTCAACGCAAAGAAATAGAGGAAAACAATAGACTGGGAAAGACTAGAGATCTCTTCAAGAAAATTAGAGATACCAAGGGAACATTTCATGCATAGATGGGCTCAATAAAGAACAGAAATGGTATGGACCTAACAGAAGCAGAAGATATTAAGAAGAGGTGGCAAGAATACACTGAAGATCTATACAAAAAAGATCTTCGCAACCCAGATAATCATGATGGTGTGATCACTCACCTGAGCCACACATCCTGGAATGTGAAGTCAAGTGGGNAAAGAGGAGAGTGAAAAAGTTGGCTTAAAGCTCAACATTCAGAAAACTAAGATCATGGCACCCAGTCCCATCACTTCATGGCAAATAGATGGGGAAACAGTGGAAACAGTGGCAGAATTTATTTTTCTGGGCTCCAAAATCAATGCAGATGGTAACTGCAGCCATGAAATTAAAAGATACTTACTCCTTGGAAGGAAAGTTGTGACCAACCTAGACAGCATATTAAAAAGCAGAGACATTACTTTGTCAAGAAAGGTCCATCTAGTCAAGGCTTTGGTTTTTCCAGTAGTCATGTATGGACGGAAAGCTGAACTATAAAGAAGGATGAGTGCCGAAGAATTGATGCTTTTGAACTGCGGTGTTGGAGAAGACTCTTGAGAGTCCCTTGGACTGCAAGGAGATCCAACCAGTCCATCCTAAAGGAGATCAGTTCTGAGTGTTCATTGGAAGGACTGATGTTGAAGCTGAAACTCCAGTACTTTGGCCACCTGATGTGAAGAGCTGACTCATTTGAAAAGACCCTGATGCTGGGAAAGATTGAAGGCTGCAGGAGAAGGGGACGACAGAGGATGAGATGATTGGATGGCATCACTGACTTAATGGACATGAGTTTGGGTAAACTCCGGGAGTTGGTGATGGACAGGGAGGCCTGGCGTGCTGTGTGGTCCATGAGGTTACAAAGAGTCAGACATGACTGAGCGATTGAACTGAACTGAACTGAATAGGTACATAACTTCTTGCTGAAAACTAGCAAGGGGGCATTCTTTCTGCCCCCTTCTGATGTCTATGTCAGAAGCTTTCTCTATTTCTTTTATACTTTAATAAAACTTTATTATAAAAAGCTCTGAGGGATCAAGCCTCATCACTGGCCCAATTGAATTCCTCTCCTCCTAAGGCCAAGAATCCCTGTGTTGTTCATGTCTGGAGCAACAGCTTTTCATCGGGTTCTAAACTTGGGTTGGGAAGGTCCTCTGGAGGAGAGCATGGTAACCCACTCCAATATTCTTGCCTGGAGAATCCCATAGACAGAGGAGCCTCGTGAGCTACACCCCATAGAGCCGCAAAGAGTAAGTCATGACTGAAGCGACTTGGCACACAGCATGCAAAGGATGATATTTATAATCTTTATGTGAGAAAATCTTATCTAAGGAAGAACAGAGAACTCAGAGATGATAAAAGTAAAAGATAGACGGTTTTTACTACATCAAAATTTTTTGTAAAGCGAAAGGTATTACAAGCAAAATTAAAAGGTAAGGGAGATTAGAATGATGTTTTTGCCAAACATATAACAGAGAAAGGATTAATATCTATAATACATAACATATATATATGTTATATATATTATATATAATACATAAAATGTATAATACATAAAATACATTAAAGAAAGCCCATATATCTCAACAGAAAAAAAAAAGACAGGAATTTACAGAAGAAAGATAATACCCAATATCATATGAAAAGAAGCTCAGCCTCATTGATCAGCAGAGCTGCAGCTTTAAACAACAGACAGTTATTATTTTTAATCAATCAAATTGACAACAATTAAAATGATTCATAATAATCCAGTTTGGTTTTCTGGAAAATGAGCACCCTGATACACCATTTGTAAGAATACAATTGGTAGAGTCTTTTGAAGGGCAATTTGTCACTATGTCTAAACGTTAATAGGCTGAAGTTTGATTTAGCAATTCTACTTCTAGGGAATCTATTTTACAGAAATGCAGGCAGGCAGTGTGAAAGCGAATATGGAGGTAAGTTGAGATCAGGAGCTGACTCGGCCCACAAGCAAGAGCTAGCATCCCACAAGGATGGAATGGAACCCATGTCAGTTTTCACTGCTTCCAGTCTTGCAGATGCAGGCATCCTGCCGGAGCCAGAGCCTTTGTCACAGAGCAAAATACGTGCATCTGGCCCAGGAGTTGGAGAAGTTGAAAGAGGATCCAGGTGAAGGTGGAGAAGTTGTAGTTTCAACTGCTACTTCACTTCCAAGGTGGTTAATTAGCAAATCACCAACAATGTTTATGAACTACAAAATGCCTGCTGCTTTCCTCCTGTCCCTCAAATCTCACTTGTCGTCCACTCTAAAGGAAGCATACAGGAAAAGAAATTCTGGGAAATGTAGTTTAGCCCAACCAAGAAAACAACTCTAATGTCTATTGGTAAGTAATAGTCAAGAAAGTGAAGTTATACCATGAAATACTATGCAGCCCTTAAAGAGAATATCACTGCAATGCTATATCACTATACACCCACCAGAATGTCTAACATGAATAAGACTGACAACACCAAATGTTGGCATGGATGTGCAGTAACCAGTTCTTACATACTTTGTTTTTGTAAGTGTAAAGTGGTATAGCCACTTTGGAAAAAAAGTAGGGCAGGTTTTGTTTTTTTTTCAATAAAACTTAACAAATTTCTATCCTATAAACCAGCAATCCCATTCCTTGATTCTTACTCAAGAGAAATAAAAGTTTATGTGCATGAAAAGACTTCTACAGGAATGTGTATAGCAGTTCTATTCATCATGGCCCAAAACCTGGAAACAGACCAGGAGTCCATGAACAGGAGAACAGATACATAAATACATTTATTCATACAATGGAGTAGTACTCAGTAATTATAATAAATAAGGGTGAATCCCCAAATCATTACACCTAGTGAAATAACTTACACAAAAGAACATATATTATACTTCCATTTATATGAGAATCTAGAACAGGTAAGACTAAACTTTGATAGAATAAAATTAGAACAGTGGTTGCAATGTTAAGGGCAGGAATTGACCTGGAGAAAAACATGAGGGAATCTACTACAGTGATGATAATGTTTTATGTCTTTATATGGGTTTTGATTACACAAGTGTATGAATTTTTAAATATCAGCCAAAGCAGGCTTAAGGTTTGTGTATTCCATTGTATGTACATTTTACCTGGAACAAAAAAAGAAGTATAAACACTACACTATAATTAATGATATTTATACTGATTTTTTTCAGAAGGAGGTGTGCTGATGTCTGAAATTTACTTAGGAATGTATCAAAAAGCAAAATGAATGGATGAATAGTGGGATGGATAGATATAAAATAAAGCAAATCTAGTAAAATATTAATGGAAGGGTCTATGTGGTGTGTATATGGGTATTCACTGTAAAATTCTTTCAACTTTGCTGTATGATTGAAATTTTTCATAATAAAAGAATGAGATAAATTTTGTGTTTACAGACATGGTGAGATATCCAAAACACATTGTTACTAACAAGTCATGAGGGGACTTCCTGGTGGTTCAGTGGTTAAGACTTGCATTTCCAACACAGGGGATTTGGGTTCCATCATTAGCAGGGAGGGCTTCCCTTGTGGCTCAGCTGGTAAACAATTCTCCTGCAATCCGGGAGACCTGGGTTCAATCCCTGGGTTGGGAAGATCCCCTAGGGAAAGGAAAGGCTACCCACTCCAGTATTCTGGCCTGGAGAATTACAGTCCATGGGGTCGCAAAGAGTTGGACACAACTGAATGACTTTCACTTCACTTCATTAGTTGGGAAGCTAAGATCCCATATACCTCTTGGCCAAAGAAAACAAAGTATAAAACAGAAACAATATTGTAACAAATTCGATAAATATTTTTAAAATGGTCCACATAAAAAAGAAAAATCTTAAAAAATAACAATCTCAGGGGTAAAGTGTAGTATGATATCATGGGCATAAGACAACTAAAGACATAAGACATCGTCCCTGATGGTTCAGTGGTTAAGAATCTGCCTGCCGATGCAGGGGAGCAGTTCGATCTCTGGTCCAGGAAGACTCCACATGCAGCAGGGCAAATAGGCCTGTGAGCCACAACTACTGAAGCTGGCATGCCCCAGAGCCTATGCTCCACAGCAAGAGAAGCCACCCCGATGAGAAGCCCATGCACTGCCACGAGAGAGTAGCCCCCACGCAGCAACAAAGATCTGGCACAGCCAAAAGTAAATAAATAAGTAAAAATTAAGAAAATTTTAAACTAATGAAACCCAACTAAACAATACCAACCTCACTTATGTGAGTCAATTAATAGAGGATCTGTATTAGACTGTTAACAATAGTAACCTTTGAGGGTAGAAAGTAGAATGAGAGCATTGGTGTTTTAGCCTAGTTTTCTAGAAAGCAGAGCCTGAGACAAAAGCTTATGGGTTAACTCTTTGGGGAATGGTGCAGTCCCAGGGAAGCAGGAGTAAGAGAGAAAGGAGAGTAAAGTAGAGAAGGAATTCAGTAAAATAGGGGCTTCCCTTTTAGCTCCGTTGGTAAAGAATTCACCTGCAATTCAGGAGACACTGGTTCGATTCCTGGGTCGGGAAGATCCACTGGAGAAGGGATAGGCTACCCACTCCAGTATTCTTGGGCTTCCTTTGTGTCTCAGATGGTAAAGAATCCATCTGCAATGTGGGAGACCTGGATTTGGTTCCTGGGCTGGAAAGATCCTCTGGAGAAGGGAAAGGCTACCCACTCCAGTATTCTAGCCTAGATAATTCCATAGACTATGGGCTATAGTCCATGGGATCGCAAAGAATCAGACACAACTGAGTGACTTTCACTTCACTCCACATACATGCATTACTGTGCTGCCCACAGCTTCACACCAAGAACAGGTGATGGGTCTCTGGGGATGTCATCAAGAAGGCTGTATGAAACTAGCACATCCCCTAACTGTCCATGGTGGGGAGGAAGGGAGAAGAATGTATCTGCTGCTTTCTGTATCTCACTAGACAAAGTGTACCCCAAAAAAGCATCAACTCCCTCAAATTTCTGGAACCAGTCAGTTTGGAAGCATGGGTGCTGAGTGGATCTTGCAGAACATTTTTGTCTCAGCACCAGCAGATGAGCCCCAGGGCTAGTTCTCAGGCTTAAGAGTGGGTAGTGTCTGTGAGCAACCTGGGAGGCCAAGATTAGTTCCCACAGTAGACCCTTCTGGACAGCTGGGGGAGTGCAAGACAATATCGCCTCTGCCTTCAGAGCTTGGCCAGCCCCTCTCCTGCATCCTAGAGGAATGTGCTTACTACCAAGCAATCCTTCTGGGGGAGTCTTCAACAACACTGTGAGAAAAGTTCACTGGGCAAATCTGGGTCTAGCACTGATCTCGGTAAACCAGGACTTTCCCTTCTTTAGGTAACATTTTGTAGCTAATAGTATAGGAAGATAGAATAAATTATGGAAATGCTAGCTTAATATTAATGAAAAACTTTGAGATATTATTTTGGATAAAGCACATCATTATTATTACTTTATTATTATTAATGGCTGCACTGTGTGGCTTGTGGGATCTTTGTTCCCTGACCAGGGATTAAACCCCAGGTCTTAGGCAATGAAAGCGTGGAGTCCTAACCCCTGGGTGTAAAGCAATACGTTACATGAAACGAAGTGAGATTTAATTTTTATTCCCTTTGTAAATGGTTTCATGAAAGTTAATTCAAAAATTGGAAAATAGTCTGTTGTGATAACGTGTTCTGAGCTGTGGCATGCAACTGAATTTATGGTCACTGGAATAAGCATACAGAATCGCTGTTGTTGTTTAGCTGCTAAGTCGTGTCCAGCTCTTTGCAATGATGTGGACTGTATGTAGCATTCCAGGCTTCTTCTGTCCATGGGATTTCCCAGGCAAGAATACTGGAGTGGGTTGCCATTTCCTTCTCCAAGGCATCTTCCTGACCCAGGGATTGAACCTGTGTCTTCTACTCTGGCAGGCAGATTCTTTACCACTGAGCCACAATGAAAGCTCCAAGCCCATAGAGTGAGGTTTCTCTATCCATGGGATTCCCCAGGCAAGAATACTGGAGTGAGTTGCCATTCCCTTCTCCAGGGGATCTTCCCGACCCAGGAATCAAACCCAGGTCTCCCTCATTGCAGGTGGATTATTTACCATCTGAGCCATGAGGGAAGCCTTAATTCTGGAAAGAGGATAATTAATTTTTTTAAAGAGCTGGTAACAAATTACTTTTGTTAAAGTTACGACCAACCTAGACAGCATATTATAAAGCAGAGACATTACTCTGCCAACAAAGGTCTGTCTAGTCAAAGCTATGGTTTCTCCAGTAGTCATGTATGGATGTGAGAGTTGGACTATAAAGAAAGCCGAGCACCAAAGAATTGATGTTTTTGGACTGTGGTGTTGGAGAAGACTCTTGAGAGTCCCTTGGACTACAAGGAAATCCAACCAGTCCAACCTAAAGGAAATCAGCCCTGAATATTCATTGGAGGGACTGATGCTGAGGCTGAAACTCCAATACTTTGGCCATTGGAAAAGACCCTGATGCTGGGAAAGATTGAGAGCAGGAGAAGGGGACGACAGAGGATGAGATGGTTGGATGGCATCACCGACTCGATGGACATGAGTTTGAGTAGACTCTGGGAGTTGGTGACGGGGAGGCCTGGCGTGCTGGGGTCCATGGGGTCCGCAGAGTTGGACCCCCTGAGTGACTGAAGTGAAAGAGCTGGTACACCTTCACAGGTATCTGACCCATCTGGTTGTCCTCTTAATACTTTGTCTCTTATCTCCTTGGTCATCATGATCCTGTCTTATAGCTTATATCTCCCTTTTCTTCCATTGAAGAGCCCCACTCCCTTCATTAAATTTAAAAAATGTTCTCATTTGATTATCTTGGACTACATATGACCCTTCTAGTTAATTACAGTTTGGGGCGATGAAGACATTTATTTATTCCTCAACTGTAGCAAGTTATCAATTTATTGTCACTTAGCTCCAAATCTACCCTTCTTTGCCCTGCTTTGTGAAATGAGCTGGACCCTATAGACAAATCTTTCGTGTCAGCTGGGGCAATGCTAAGCCTAGTTAATAAAGGACACTGGAGGGACATGACACAAACAGAGGCAGGGGCTTCTTGTTCTGGTCCCAGTGGACCTTTATTCTTGGCCTTACATGGCAGCTGCCAGGGTAGTAGTGTTCACATTCTGGTAACTTACTGGCATCCTCGTAACTGACCTCTGATCCTCCAGTCCAGGTTTGTGACGCCTCAGTGAACTTCACCATCCAGTGGACTAAAGATACACAGTCATTGGAGTCTCAGCCTTGTCATGGGATGAGGAAGAATGTGGAGCCTTGCAAATTTGTTCCTTCCTCAGGTACTCCCCTTCAAACCTAGAGATGTTAGCTTGTATTTGCCATTTGCAACACTTGCTATTCCTGTTTTCTTTGAAGTTTTCTTTTACTCTTTTAGTAGATGACCACCTGATGATCAATTTTATGTGTCAACTTAGAGGGTGTTTTTGGAAGAGATTAACATTTCAAAGCTATGGTTTTTCCAGTAGTCGTGTATGAATATGAGAGTTGGACCATAAGAAGACTAAGTGCCAAAGAATTTATGCTTTTGAATTACAGTGCTGCAGAAGATTCTTGAGAGTCCCTTGGACTGCAAGGAGATCAAACCAGTCAATCCTAAAGGAAATCAACCCTGAATATTCACTGGAAGGACTGATGCTGAAGCTGAAGCTCCAATACTTTGGCTACCTGAGGCAAACAGCCTACTCATTGGAAAAGACCCTGATACTGGGAAAGATCGAAGGCAGAAGGAGAAGGGGACAACAGAGAATGAGATGGTTGGATGGCATCACTGACTCAATGGACCTGAGTTTGAGCAAACTCTGGGAGATGGTGAAGGACAGGGAAGCCTGGTGTGTGCTGCAGTCCATGGGGTTGCAAAGAATCAGACACGACTTAGTGACTAAACTGAACATTTAAATTGGTGAAACTTGGGTAAAACAGATTGCCCTCCATAATGTGGGTGGGCCTCATCCAATCAACTGAAGGCCTGAATAGAACAAAAAGACTGGCTTCCATGAGTAACAGGGAACTCACCAACAGACTGCCTTTGGATTGGAACTGAAACACTGGCCCTCTTGGGTCTTGAGCCTTTTGACCCATGCTACAGATATGGACTTGCCTGCCTCCATAATCACATAATCCTTTATATATATATATATATATATATATATATATATATTATATATTATATATATATATATTATATATTATATATATATTTATATTATCTATCTACCTACCTATCTGTGTCATTTAGTAGTTAATAATTCTTATTTTTGGCCATGTGGCTTACAGGATCTTAGTGCTCCAACCAGGGACTGAACTTGTGCCCCTGCGGTGGAAGCACTCAGTCCTAACCACTGGACCACCAGGGAATTCCAAGTTGCCAATTCTTTATACTAAAGTTGTGTTGTGTTTTTTGTCTCCTGAGCAGGCATTGATTGACATCAGCAGTGTATATGATACAGGGCACGTACATGGAGATTATGTAGTAAAATAAAATGAAATGCCTGCCCTCAGTAGTTGAAAGAAACAGATCAAGGAAAAGTTAGGAAAACTTTTCATAAGGATAGTAATGGAGGTGTTTGTCCAGAGCCACAGAGAAGCGGAGAAGAGGGAGCACTTACCTCTAGAGGTATCAGAGAGCTGCACAGGACAGGTGATGTCTCAACTGAGTCTCAAAGGGAAATAGGACTGTTCCAGGCAAACGGAGGTGGTGAGTAGTAAAATTCAGATGGAGGAAAGAAAGTATGTTCAGAGGAAGCACATTACGTTTAGGGGAGTGTAAGTGAGGTTGCTCCACAGGCTGGGGGAGAGGAGGCTGGAGGAGATGGTAAGGAATGTCAAAGGTCCTGCAACTCACTGTAAGGAGCTGGATTTGGGGCTCTAGGACAGAGATTTTCAACCTATTTTGCACCAAGACACACATAACAGCTGGTGTTCACATTCATGTTAGTTCCTTATCTAAGCCAGGTTTTTGTTGAAACAACCCTCCCTTAATTTGAGAGTGTAACAAAGCATATATAATTCAAAGCTGCTGTAACTATCAATGGAGCCTCAGTAATAGCTGCTCATTACCATCTATGGCATAGATAAAATAGGCTCTGCGTATTGCTGCCTCAAACTCATTCTCTCCCACTTAAGAAAACAAATCAGAATGCATACAGTCTCCTCCACCTTCAACTCTCTGCTGGGACAGCTGAGCCTCTCAGTAACTGACCAACTGTTGGAGTCTGGAGGAGATCTCAGGTATATCCAAGAGCCTGAGTTCCTGTGAAGAATTTGCAAAATGAAGCAGAGCTCAAGAGAGGTCAAAGGATGTAAGGTTAGAAGACAGAATTAGAAGACAGAGTTTCCTCCCAGGAGGCAGCTGGGGCAATGATCTTGAGGTCTACTTGCTGACTATTGTATTGCTCAGATGCAGGCAGCATCGGGGAAGCTTCCATGCTGGGCTCCAGCAAAAAAATAGGACACGTCCACATAACTCAAGACAGAGATCCCAGCTTGCCAAATGTTTGCTGTAAGCCCACTGTAGAAAAACACACACACTATTCCACTATCACTCATTTTTTTCAAAAAACAAACAATTCCTAAGACTTGTCCTATAGGCTAAGAATACAATAGTAATCAAGATACACAAGGCATGAACCATAGATTTTAATTTGGGAAGACAGACAATAACAAAACATATGTAACATAATTTTCAGATGGTGGTAAGGTTAGAGAACTAGGATAGAGACTTATTGGGTGGGGAGTGCTGCTGAGGCAGGAATTGGCTTGTCAGACTGAGGTGGTTGAAGTTAAATGCTTGAGGGAGAGAGTAGAAAGAGGCAAATGAAAGAAGAGCCACATCTAGCCCAATCCCAGTGAGATTTTTGAACTCCAAGGATCAAAGAAAATTTTACAAGCTTCTAGATAGAAAGAATAGCTTTCTTATCAAGAAAAGGGAAATGAACTGGCATCAAACAACTCATTAGCAAAACTGGAATTAAGAAGACAATGTAACATTACAGGCCTTGGTAAGAGGAATGACCTGAAAGTTCTATGTTCAACCAAGATACTATTCATACGTGAAGGCTCATGCCTTACCTTGCTCCTAGTCTGTTCCAAAACCCTTCTTTATACCATTTCCACCATTTGAACTTGGTTTCCCTGGCTTAACTTTGGGCTGTCTCCAAGGATCTGGCTTGGAAATCAACTTCGACTCTTTGTAGCTCTCTTGGGTGGAACGACCTCTCATAACTCTGGATCCTGAAGCCCAACCACAGGTATCACCATTCCTGTTTGGAGGTCTGGCAAGTCTTCCACTGAGGTTTTCCTACAACTAGTTAGTTATACTGAGTAATGCAGTCACACGAGCTGTCTGCTACATCAGTGATGGCATTGTAGTAGGAGGACCTGGTGAAGAGAAAGAACAAGTATCCAGATACATTAGTCAAACATAGACAGGCAAGAGGATACAAGGTAAACTCCCATGATGACTCAGGGGCCTGCCATCTTGGGGAACTTTCTAAGTTCCAGTGGCCTAAGGCAGGAAGGATAGAGAGCTCCTTCAAGTAAAAGCAAGTTGTTGCACTTTCCAACTGACAATTATGAAGCACACTTATAATATTGTATGCCAACTCTACTGCAATGAAGAAGTGGAAGGCAGGCCCAGGAGGGAGGGGGTATATGCATACATACAGCTGGTTCACACCGTTGTGCAGCAGAAACTAACACAACACTAAAAAGCAATTATATTCCAATTAAAAAATAAATTTAAAAGACAGTAAATATGTTAACAAGTAACAAATGTAAGTAGTTTTCTTTATTCCTGCTGAACTTGAAATTCAGGTGATAAATGTGCTTTTAAATAGAAAAAAAAGGAGAATAAGAAAAAGGAAGGGGAGGAGGATAAGAGAGAGGATGGGAGGGAAGGAGAAGGGGAAGAAGAAGGGGCTGAGGCTCACTTGTAGGAGTATTAATTTTGGAGGCAACATATAGCACATGTGGATGTTGCTCTGATCCTTTTGCCAAGTAACCCAAAGGACTGTAAACTTTGAGTTGGGCCCAGAAAAATAAAGGTATTTTTAATAGGAGCAGGCTGTAGTGCAAAGAGCAAGAATCCAGGCTATAGACAGACTATTATCAAGTGCCAAGGCAGTGCCACGTCCTGCTGGGAGATCAGAGATGGTAGCGCAGGCTGACTACAGCAGGAGGGTATTCTCTCTGCTGGTCTGTCTTCCAAATACCCAAGGCTAAGGAATTACAAGCTAAGAGACCACTTCATGCCAGTGCTGCTTCTCTGGAAGAGCGGCGAGGTAAAAGCTCAGAAGGGCTGCATGTCTGCCGCGACAGCACATGGGAATGATCCAGAGTAGCTCAGTGGTGCCTGGCATTCCCTTCTCCAGAGTGACTCCCCTCTTCCCCTGAAACTCTACTTGACTATATTAGTCATTTTTGCTGAGGTCACAACCAACTTCAATATCTCTGTAGCTTACAACAGAGGCTGGAAAACTTTTTGCGTGAAGGGCTGGACAGTCAATGTTTTGGACTTTGTGGGACATAGGGTCTCAGTTACAGCTCCTCAGCTCTGCCCTTGTGGCATTTAGGCAGCCAGAGACATATGTAGATGAACGTGTGACTGTGTTCTGACAATATTATACAAACACTAAAGTTTGAACTTCATATAGCTTTCACATGTCACAAAATATTCTTCTTCTGATTACTTTTTTTTTTGAGATACAATTGACATATAATATTATGACTCTTAAAGGATCATCCCAATAAGTCTAGTTAATATCCATCACCATGCATAGCTAGACAAATTTTTTCTTTTGTGATAAGAATGTATAAGATCTACTTTCTCAGCCACTTTCAAATGTACAACACGGTATTGTTAACTATAGTCACCATACTGTCATTACATCCTTGTGACTTATTTATTTTATAATTGGAAGTTTGGACCTCTGGGGTAGTGGTGGTGGTGGTTTAGTCGCTAAGTCGTGTCTGACTCTTGCGATCCTGTGGACTGTAGCCTGCCAGGCTCCTCTTTCCATGGGATTCTCCAGGCAAGAATACTGGAGTGGGTTGCCATTTCCTTCTCCAGGGGATCTTCCCAACCCAGGAATTGAACCTGAGTCTCCTGCATTGCAGGCAGATGATTTACCAACTGAGCTACGAGGAAAGCCCGGACCCCGGAGCGGGGGTCACCTATTTTGCCCATTCCCCACCTCCCTGCCTCTGGCAACCACCAATCTGTTCTGAGTCTATGAGCTCATTCGTTTTGGTTTGGCTTGCTTAGATTCCACACATAAGTGAGGTCATACAGTATTTACACATCCTCTGAATTATTTCACTTAGCATGATGATGCCCTCAGGGTCATCCATATTGTTGCAAATGGCAGAATTTTATTCTTTTTGTGACCAAATAATATCCCATTGTATATGTACACTATGTTTTCTTTTTTCTCTCTTTTTAAGTGAAATGTATGTGTAGTGTTCAACTCTTTGTGACCCCATGGACTGTAGCCTGCCAGGCTCCTCTCACCATGTTTTCCGGGCAAGAATACTGGAGCAGGTTGCCATTTCCTACTCCAGGGGTCTCCTGACACAGGGATCAAACCTATGTCTCCTGCACTGGCAGGCGGATTCTTCACCACTGTGCCACCTGGGGAATCCTTAAAGTTGAATACTTTTTTTAATTTTATTTATTTATTTTGGCTTTCTCTAGTTGCAGAGAGTCGGGGCTACTCTGTTGTGGTTTGTGGGCTTCTTATTGTGGTAGTTTCTCTTGTGAGGAGCACTGGCTCTAGAACATGGGCTCAGTAGATGTGGTGCATGGGCTTAGTTGCCCTGTGGCACGTGGAATCTGCCCAGACCAGGGATCGAACACATGTTCCCTGCATTGCCAGGAAGACTCTTAACCACTGGACCACCAGAGAAGTCCCTACATTTTCTCTTATTCATTCATCCATAGATGAATTTTTAGTTGGCTTCCATGTCTTGACTATTGTAAATAATGCAGCAAATGAACACGAGGATGCATGTCTTTTGTCTAGTGTTTCTGTTTCCTTCAGATACTGGATTATATGTCAGTATTATTTTTAATTTTTTGAGGAGCTGCCACATTGTTTTCCATAATGGGTAGGCCAACTTACATTCCCACTAACAGCATACAATGTCTCCCTTTTCTCTACATCCTCACCCAAACTCATCTCTTGTCCTTTTGAGAGCAGCCATTCTAACAGATGTAAGTTTTGATTTGCATTTCCCTGATGATAGTAATGCTGAGCACCTTTCCATATACTGTTGGCCATTTGTGTGTCTTCTTTTTAAAAATGTATAATCAGATCCTCTGCCCATTTTAAAATCAGATTGTTCATTTTTTTGCTATTCAGTTGTATGACTTCTTTATATATTTTGGATATTAACCTCTTATCAGATAAATGATATGCAAATATTTTCTTCCACTCAGTAAGTTGCCTTTTCATTTTGTTAATTGTTTCCTCTGCTATGCAGAAATTTTTAGTTTTGATGTGGTCCCATTTGTTGATTTTTGCTTTTGTTGCCTTTGCTTTTGGTGTCAAATCCAAAAAATCATCACCAAGACCTATATCAAGGAGCTTACTGCCCAAGAGTTTTCTTCCAGGAATTTTATGGTGTCAGGTCTTGCATTCAAGTCTTTAATCCATTTTGAGCTGATTTTTGTGTATGGTATAAGATAGTGGTCTATCTTTATTTTTATTTTTTTTGCATGTGGCTGTCCAGTTTTCCCAACACCATTTATTAAAGAGACAGTCCTTTCTCCAGTTTATATTCTTGGCTCCTTTGTCATAAATTAATTGACCACATATACATGTTTTGATTACTTTTCAACCTTTCAAAAAATGAAGAAAATATCTAAGCCTTACAAAGACAATAGACTGGATTTGGCCCATGGAGTGTAGTTTGCCAACACATGGTTTACAACAACCAACAAGTATTTTATTGCTTATTATATGTTGGTGATTGCAAGTCAGCTTCTGTGGGTCTATGTGTTTCACTCTAAGGCATAGGCTGGGCTGTAAGAATAGCCCCTATTTGGGTCACACTAGTCTTGCAGGCTTTTCATACTGTTCATGGGAATCTCAAGGCAAGAATGCTGAAGTTGTTTGCCATTCCCTTCTTCAGTGGACCACGTTTTGTCAGAACTCACTACCATGACCTGTCCATCTTGGGTGGCCCTACACAGTATGGCTCATAGTTTCATTGAGTTAGACAAGGTTGTGATCCATGTGATCAATTTGGTTAGTTTTCTGTGACTGTGGTTTTCATTCTGTCTGCCCTCTGATGGATGAGGATAAAAGGCTTGTGGAAGCTTCCTGATGGGAGGGACTGGCTCTGGGAAAAACTGGGTCTTGCTCTGGTGGGCAAGGCCATACTCAGTAAATCTTTATCCAGTTTTCTGCTGATGGGTAGGGCTGTGCTCCCTCCTTGTAGTTGGGCCTATGGTCAAACTATGGTAGGAGTAATGGTGACCTCCTCCAAAAGGACCCATACCAGCATGCCTCGTCTCCCAGGACTGCAGTCAGTGTCCCTAACCCCGCGCTGGCCACTGTTGATCCACGCCTCCGCAGGAGACTCCTGTGCACTCACAGGCAAGTCTGTCTCAGTCTCTTGTGGGGTCACTGCTCCTTTCTCCTGGGTCCTGGTGCACACAAGGTTTGTTTGTGCCCCCCCCTACAAGAGTCTCTGTTTTCCCAGTCCTATGGGAGTTCTGTAGTCAAATCCCACTGGCCTTCAAAGTCAAATTCCCTGGGGTTTCTCAGTCCCTTTGTTGGATTCCCAGGTTGGGAAATCTGTTGTGGGTCCTATAACTTTTGCAACAGTGCAAGGACTTCTTTGGTATAATTGTTCTCTAGTTTGTGGGTCACCTGCTCAGCAGCTCTATGGGGGGCTAATGGTGACCTCCTCCAAGAGGACTTATACCACACACTGCACCTCCCAGGACCACTGCTGCCAGAGCCCCTGTCCCCAGGTCAGTAGGTGTCCAATATGCTACCAGAGAAGAGCAGAGAAATAGCTCCAGAAGAAATGAAAAGGCTGAGCCAAAGCAGAAACAATGCTCAGTTGTGGATGTGTCTGGTGGTGAAAGTAAAGTCCGATGCTGTGAAACAATATCGCATAGGAACCTAGAGTGTTAGGTCCATGAATCAAGGCAAATTGGAAGTGGTCAAACAGGAGATGGCAAGAGTGAATATCAACATTTTAGGTATCAGTGAACTACAATAGACGAAAATGGGAGAATTTAACTCAGATGACCATTATATCTACTACTGTGAGCAAGAATTCCTCAGAAGAAATGGAGTAGACCTCCTAGTCAACAAAACAGTCTGAAATGCAGTATTTGGATGCAATCTCAAAGTCAACAGAATGATCTTGGTTCATTTCCAAGGCAAACCATTCAAGTAATCCAAGTCTATGCCCCAACCGCTAATGTTGAAGAAGGTGAAGCTGGATGGTTCTATGAAAACCTGCAAGACCTTCTAGAACTAACACCAAAAAAAGATGTCCTTTTCATCATAGGGGACTGGAATGCAAAAGTAGGAAGTCAAGAGATACTTGGCATAACAGGCAAGTTTGGCCTTGGAGTACAAAATGAAGCAGGGCAAAGGCTAACAGTTTTGCCAAGAGAACGCACTGGTCATAGCAAACATCTTCTTCCAGCAACACAAGAGACAATGACTCTACACATGGACATCACTTTATGGTCAGTACCAAAATCAGATTGATCATATTCTTTGCAGTCAAAGATGAAGAAGTTCTATACAGTCAGCAAAAACAAGACAGGGAACTGATTATGAACTCAGATCATGAACTCCTTATTGACAAATTCAGATTTAAAAAGAAAAAAGTAGGGAAAACCACTAGGCCATTCAGGTATGACCTAAATCAAATCCCTTATGATTATATAGTGAAAGGGACAAATAGATTCAAGGGATTAGATCTGATAGACACAGGGCCTGAAGAACTATGGACAGAAGTTGGTAACATTGTACAGGAGGCAGTGATCAAAACCATCCCCAAGAAAAAGAAATGCAAAAAGACAAAATGGTCATCTGAGGAACTCTTACAAATAGCTAAGAAGAGAAGCAAAAGGCAAAAGATAAAAGGAAAGATATATCCATCTGAATCAGAGTTCCAGAGAATAGCAAGGAGAGATAAGAAAACCTTCCAAAGTGAACAATGCAAATAGAGGAAAACAACAGAATGGGAAAGACTAGAGTTCTCTTCAAGTAAATTAGAGATACTAAGGGAATATTTCATGCAAAGATGGGCACAATAAAGGACAGAAATGGTATGGACCTAACAGAAGCAGAGAATAGTAAGAAGAGTTGGCAAGAATACACAGAAGAACTAAACAAAAGAGCTCTTAACAACCCAGGTAACCACGATGGTGTGATCACTCACCTAGAGCCAGACATCCTGCAAGTGTGAAATCAAGTGGGCCTTAGGAAGCATCACTACAAACAAAGATAGTGAAGGTGATGGAATTCCAGTTGAGCTATTTCAAATCCTAAAGGATGATGCTGTGAAAGTGTTGCACTCAACATGCCAGCAAATTTGGAAAACTCAGCAGTGACCACAGGACTAGAAAAGGTCAGTTTTCATTCCAATCCAAAAGAAGAGCAATGCCAAGAATGTTCAAACTACCACACAATTGCATTCATTTCACATGCTAGCAAGGTCGTGCTCAAAATTCTCCAAACTAGGCTTCAACAGTATGTGAACCGAGAACTTCCAGATATACAAGCTGGATTTAGTAAAGGCAGAGGAACCAGAGATCAAATTGCCAAAATCCATTGGATCATAGAATAAGTAAGGGAATTCCAGAAAAACATCTACTTCCGCTTCATTGACTATACTAAAGTCTTTGACTGTGTGGATCACAACAAACTGTGGAAAACTCTGAAAGAGATGGGAATACCAGACCACCTTACCTACCTTCTGAGAAACCTGTATGCAGGTCAAGAAGCAATAATTAGAACCAGACATGGAACAATGGACTGATTCCAAATTGGGAAAGGAGTACATCAAGGCTGAATATTATCACTCTGCTTATTTAACTTTTATGCAGAATACATCATGCAAAATGCCAAGCTGGATGAATCACAAGCTGGAATCAAGATCACCAGGAAAAATATCAACAACCTCAGATATGCAGAGGACACCACCGTTATGGCAGAAAGTGAAGAGGAACTGAAGAGCTTCTTGATGAAGGTGAAAGAGGAGAGTGAAAAAGCTGGCTTAAAACTCAACATTCAAAAAACAAAGATCATGGCATTCGGTCCCATACCTTCATGGCAAATACATGGGGAAACAATGGAAGCAGTGACAGACTTTATTTTCTTGGGTTCCAAAATCACTCCAGATGGTGACTTTAAAAGGTGAAATTAAAAGACGCTTGCTCCTTGAAAGAAAAGCTATGACAAACCTAGACAGTGTATTAAAACCCAAAGATATGACTTTGCCAACCAAGTTCTGTGTAGTCAGAGCTATGGTTTTTCCAATAGTCATGTATGGATGTCAGAGTTGGACCATAAGGAAAGCTGAGCACCAAAGAATTGATGCTTTTGAACTGTGGTATTGGAGAAGACTCTTGAGAAGCCCTTAGACAGCAAGGAGATCCAACCAGTCCATCTTAAAGGAAATCAGTCCTGAATACTTATTGGAAGGACTGATGCTGAAGCTGAACCTTCAACACTTTGACCATCATTCAAACGCCAACTCACTGGAAAAGACACTGATGTTGGAAAAGTGTGAAGGCAGGAGGAAAGGGGGATGACAGAGGATGAGATGATTGGATGGCATCACTGACTCAATGGACATGAGTTTGAGCAAGCTCCAGGAGATGCTGAAGGACAGGGAAGCCTGGCGTGCTGCAGTCAAAGGGGTTGCAGAGTCGGACATGACTGAGTAACTGAACAAGTCTTGCAGCAGAGTGGAAGAATAAGAAAGTTGGTGGAAACATAAGCTGCCTCTTAAAGCTCCTACTCAGAGCTATAAATAAATAAAACATAAAATAATATGACAGTAAACAACAAAGTTGTATTGTATAGCATAGGAAACTATATTCAATATCTTATAATAAACTATGATGGAAATGAATTTTTAAAATGACAGAAGCAAATCTTAATTTAAATGTAAATACAATAAATGCAATTGCATTAAATTCAAAAGTAAAAGGCCCAGACTCTAAGACCAGTTAAAAATCCAACAATATGATTTACCAAGGCATGTTATTATTTTTTAAAAAGGAATGGTTTAAAATAAGATAGAAAAATCTATGACAGGTATTTTTGAACTAAAAGAATCCAGAAGATAGTAATCCCTAATATCCAACGTAATAGACTTAAGGAAAAAAAGATTGTAAGAAAGAGACAAAAGATATTATGACATATGGAACACAGAATAGAGAATAGATTAAAGAAATTATAAATGTTAACTACTGCCTTGTGACCAGTTTCAGAAATAAGGATTGTATTAGCTATACCCATTTTCTTTCTTGATTACAGAAAATCATATTATGACTGTGCAGATAAGATATGAACGTTTCCCAGGGACTGATGAAGTTCCTGATGAGACACTGGGTATTCCCCTTCACAGACAAGGTGAGAAATTTTTTTCCTATAATAACAAGTGAGTTATATTAAGTGGGAACATTTCATTGCTATTGGTGTTTTTTTAAGTATGGAAAGGTTGTATGAATAACTAGTATACAAAATGATGGAATGTGTATTGGTTCACTACTTTCCAATCCCCTTCTAGTGTGCCTTCTTATACAGCATAGGCTGGAATGCTCAAGACTACATTTCTCTGACTCCCCTGAAGCTATATAGTTCAAACAGATGCATCCACATGAGTCTGGAAAGGAGGAAATGAGAAATGTGAGGCAGAAGATATGCCCATGGGTAAATCAGCTCTTCTTGCAAGCAGTCTGAAGGCACTTGGTTCTTCTGGGGCAGCTCTGGCAGTGACTGCCATTTCTATTTCTAATGTCATAGTATCAGGAAGCGGCAGCACTGAGAATTCTGACTATAGCCAGGTGATGTAGCTGGCAGTTTCCCCTGGTCACTAATGTACTAAACTTTCAGCAACTAAACATGATTCCCTGGACCACCTAGAGATTCATCAGCCATCTAAAGTTGTCTAATAATGTCCCTTCTGTTTAAACTACCCAGAGTGGATTCTATTCTCTACAAGTAACAATATTGATTACAGAAGACTATTATCTGTCCTTTACTACCTTGTCTCCCTTTCTTCTTTGGTAATAGAATGTGCAGCTATACACATTACTATCTTATTTAATGGGCTTCCCTGGTAGCTCAGCTGGTCAAGAATCTGCCTGCAATGCAGGAGACCCCAGTTTGATTCCTGAGTTGAGAAGATCCCCTGAAGAAGGGCTAGGATACCCACTCCAGTATTCTTGCCTGGAGAATTTCATAGATAGAGGAGCCTAGCGAGTTACAGTCCATGGGATCACAAAGAGTCGGACACAACTGAGTGACTCACACACACACACACACACACACACACACACACACACACACACACACAGTAGCCAGCAGACTGCAGCCACTCCCTATGCTGAGCCCTGAGGAAACTCAGGGTGTGAAAATATAGGATGCTGACTCCAGATAGCTGTGGTGAATATCAAAGGAATAACTTCAGTTAGCCCAGACTCTTGCACCTTCCCATATATAGAAAAGCACTAAATTCCTTAACTTGACATATCTGGTTTCTTTCATTAACAGTAATCTTTTGATGTTTCTGACTACCTGCCCTTTGTTAGAAAACTCCTATATATCCTAGCTCCTCCTCCTGCCTCCTCAATGCAGTTTCTCAGAGTTATCTGAAACGCTGTCTTCTGGGTTGCAGTCCTCATTTTCCCCCATGTGAAACTTGAGACTCTCATGTTGTGCATTTTTTTAAGTCAGCATTAGCTCAGTAAGTAAAGAATCTGCCTGCAGTGCAGGAGACCCAGGTTCGATCCCTGGGTTGGGAAGATCCCCTGGAGAAGGAACTGGCAAAGCACTCCAGTATCCTTGCCTGGAAAATCCCATGGACAGAAGAGCCTGGTGGGCTGCAGTCCATGGGGTCTCAAAGAGTTGGACATGACTGAGTGACTAACATACACTATAGAACTCCTCACTATCTCTTCCAGGTCGGGACATACAGTTTTGAGGGCATTTTCCCTCTGTGGTCCCTTTTGCCTAGCAAAGCAATAAAGTCTGTTCTTTTATACTTTACCCAACATTTTGTCTGTAAGGTTCAACTCAGTACCAGGGTATAGAGGCCGAATTTTGGCTACACCAGCCTAGGTACTAGATCTGTGAATGAAGAAACCTCCAGATGATTCCAGTTTCCAGCAGTTCAAATCACTCTCAGCCACAAGAGTCTTCCCAGTTAGACTCCAGACACTGTAGAACAGAAACAAACCATTTCTGCAGTGACTAGTCAAATTCTTGACCCATGGAATCCACGAGCATAATCAACGTCTTTTGATATATGCCTCAATGTTTGGGCTGGCATGTTACACAGCAATAGTAATTGGAATATTTTGTAACCAAATCTCTCAAGAGCTGTCTATTCTCATCATCTCAATTTCTCCATCCCCACATAGTCCAATCATCTGGAATTTGCTCCCTTAAATCAAGCTTAACAGTGTTCTCTGAAATCAATGATTTCCAAGTTGTTAAGTCTAACAGAGACGTATTGAACACTAATGTTCAGTTCTTCCTTCTTGAATTACTCTTTTAGTTTTTACAATACCACACTATCCCACATATCTTCGTTTCACTCTAGTTACTTCTTAGACTCAGTCACAGTTTCACCTTCCTCTAGCCAGCCACTAGATGATGAAGTTGGTGATGGCTTGGTTCTGAGTTTCTCCTCTCCTTACTTCATATTCTCTTTCTCCATCTATATCTATGGTTTTAATTCCCACCTATATAACAGGATGACATTTTAACCTGCAACAATTTCATCTGTTGTAAAAAGCTATAGGGCTATATGTCCAAATGCCTTTTCATATTTTGTACCAGGTAGGGTTGTTAGTTGCACCAAGACTGGCCTTGGCTGATTAAACAGAAGTGAATTATTAAAAGTCCACAGATTCACAGGAAGAGCAAAGTGCAGGGGCTGGAGCCTATGCTAACCAGGCAGAAACAACAGCCAAGGCATAACTTAGAACTGGCCTGGTGAGGATACCAGCATTTCTCCATGGCGGCTGGCCCCACTGATAGCCCTGGCAGTGGACGCCTTGGAGATACTGTCTTGCTGCAACTGTCACCATGGCTAGAAAAGATTCTTTGAGTTTTCCTTCTGCTTACAGATCCCTCTTCAAAGTCCCTGGAGGGTGCATCTGACTATCAAAGTGTAGACCATGGCCATTATCTTAACCACAAAGGATTCTGGGAAAGCAAACCACTGGCATTTCCAGATTCTGTTGCAGATGGCCAATTTTACCTCCCACCAGTTACTCATAATGTAAGGAATTCTCCAACTATATAAAAGAGTTTCAGAAGCTAGAGGGGGAAGTTGAAGGAAAATCTCTTATTATCTCTTCCTTGCAACAAAGAGTTTATCACTAATTTGATGTGCTCTGCTGAGGAAGAAGTTTGTAGAACTCTTTTGCATGTTTCAATTAAAGCTAAAAAAACCACACAAACCTTTTGCTATAACAATGTCCAGGTCTTTCTGGGAGAATTATCAATGCGGATGCTAGTAAAATAGTCTGAGTACATCCAACATTCCTGATACCTAATGGTTTTCAAACACATGTTTAATGATCTGTGCAGAATGATGTGAGGAAATGGAACTAAATAGCAAAATAACTGGAAAGTAATACAGAAGTGACATTAAGAGATAGTTGTCTTTTGTATCCTATGAACTGTAGCCTGCCATGGGATTGCCTAGGCAAGAATACCGGAGTGGGTTGTCATTTCCTTCTCTAGGGTATCTTCCCCACCCAGGGATCAAAACTGCATCCCCTGCATTGGTAGGCATATTCTTTACCACTGAGCCACTAAGGAAGCCTTCCAGTAGAGAATATGGCCCTCAAAGCACATAATTAATTATGATGAAACCAAAGTTACAAACTTTGTCCAGTATAACTGAATATGACATAAAAGAGAAGTCCATCAAAGACTAAATATTTTGAAATTCTGAGTCTTTTTTGTTTGTTTGTTTTACTATATCACAGAACTTTTCAGTACTTTACTCCAACATAAGGAACTAGAAAACTAATTTATAAAATTGTTTCTATAGTAACAATGAAAATTCAGTGATTATAAAGATTTTAGCAAATACATAATCTGACGTCTGAACTCTGAATATTAGGGACATAAATATGTCAGAAGAAAGACTTGATGTACAATGAATTTTTGTATTTGAAAACGCAAAACCTGCTATTCTTACTAGTTTTTTATTTTCTCTGAACTTAACCAAGAATTATTTTCTCTTATCTCAGCTTCTTGGATTAGCCTCTTCAAAGAAAACGCAATGCTTGTGACCTGTAGAGATTTAGAAAAGGTATGCCCAACTAAAATGAGTGCCTCAAAAAAGGGAAAAATTCTGTACAGATCTCTTCCATTTGACGCTGCTAAACTTAAGTACAATAATGTCACATGTACTTATACAGTAATTGTGGGCACGCCTAAGTCCCTCCCTCTTTCCTAAACCAAATTCCCCAGATCCTAGAAATCCAGCCCTTCTGCCCTCCGGAGGCGCCTTTCTCAACGTAAAGTACAATTTAAAATTTAAACTCCTGACTAAATAATGATTCCGTAGTCAACTGCTCGGGGATCTGGGCACCCCAGTGCCTCTGGAGCGTGCAGCGGGGTGTAGGGAAGGGCAGGGGGAGTGGGCGAAGCTGCTGGTTGGTGCCTGAAATCTGTGCGTTGCCCCTTTAATTGTGTCCCCAGCCCTCGGGCGTTTCTGTCCAACGCCCACGTCAGCAAATACCTTTTGTTTCTCTCACGTTGGGGCTACTTGTTTTAGGGCGCAAAGGAACGGCTTCAAAAGGGGGAATTTCCCCCGCCGAGAACCGGGAATCTTCCCCCAGCCCGCGCGCGCGACCCGCCGTTGCGCCGCGACCCGCGGTAAGTGGCTGCGCGCCGCGCGGGCAGAGGGCGGGCGGGGCGTCGGGGCAGCCTCGCACGGGCCCGCAAGCCTCGCTGCGGGCGGAGGCGCCGCGGGCTTTGCCCCTCGGGCGGCGGCGGCGGGATATGGCCCAGGCGCTGCGCCCCCAGACGTCCCCGGGCTGGGAGAGCAGCGGGAGGCGCAGAGGCAAGCGGGCGCCATTTGCAGCCCCGGGCACAGCGGCGGTGGCGCGCCGGCTCTGAGGGGCTGGAGACGGTCACAAAGGAGGCGCGGCCGGGCGGTCGGCGCCGAGGACCTGGCCTCGCGGCGGTGGCCGGCGAGGAGAGGCGGGCGGCTGGGGCCGGTGCCGGGCGTGTCTGGAGCCGTCGGGCGCCGCGGACTCCCGGAGGGTCGGCGGCCGGCGGGGCTCGGGCTGCGCGGCCAGTGATGGGTGGCCCGCCGGATGGGGCTGCCGAGGTCTGGGGCTTGTCACTTGCGGCCAGGAGTCCGAGTTTCTCCGAACATCTTCCATCCTTTGGTTTTATATCGTGACGCGACAGATCCGGGCTTAGAACCCAAGCAGACTTTCTATACCTAATATCGTGCTGTAATTACTGTTTTATGACGGACTCACACATACGCACCTTCTGCCTATGTAGACGGCATCTTTTGTAAGTTAATAGCGGTTTGGCACCTTCGCCTTCAAATGCGTTTATTTATTATTGATTGTGCCAGTGGCCAGATTCTGTATCTTTCAAAGGCGGTTCCCCCCCGCCCCGCCCCCGCTTTCGTTTTTCTTTTTAAATTGAAATATAGTAGACAAATAACCTTATGTTGGCTTAGTCCAAAACGCGTTTGCAAGCGGTACAGTCTCACCTATTGGGCTTTTAAACGACACACATCAGTATTACTTCTGTTCTTAATAAACATTTATATTTGCAGAACTTTAGTGAATGGAGTGCTTTCGCCTATATGAATTATTTCAGTTATTTTCACATAAAACAACCATCCAGTTATTTTCACATAAAACAACCATCCAGTCAGGCCGGTGGTTTTTCCACTTTCTAGGTGAGGAAACGCATTAAGCATTTAAACGTTCAGCCAAGAGGTCAACAGTGGCAGGCTTCTAGCGCCCTTGCCTCCTGTTCTTGCTCTTCATTTCTTCCTGAAGTCCCCTCCAGAGTCTTTAAGTAAGCAAGTCATATCGTTCCCATGCTCTGAAAACCTTAACCGATCTTATCAAAAACGAGTCTTAAAATCCTCAGCAGAATAAACCTCAGGCTCAAAACTCTCTAATCTTCCCTGAGCCTCAGATAAGGTTGAGTTTGTGGGACCCCTGGAGCAAGAGCCCTTACCTGAAGGGCTGTCAGGCAGACTATGACCAGGAATCAGATACCTTTATTCCCGGGAGTACCCCTGGCCACACAAATGGTAAATGGGAAATGAGAATCTAACCTGCCACCCTCGGCCAAATGGGCATGTTTGGGTTAGGCTGTGAAATATTAGACCGAGGTGTAATGGACTTCTTTCCAGTTGTGAATTTCCGACCCCATGAAAGAGGGCACTCTGCCAGAACTTATCTTGTAGCCTTGAAATCACCAGCTCTGCTGTTGATAATGATTTGAGCCCCCAAACTTTGTAAGATAAGTTAATACTTGATTCATCCTGTATCATTTAAATCTTATTTTCTAGATAAAATAGAATTTATGTCTAATAGGCTCAACCTTTTCAATGACCTAACTATCTGTTTATAATAATTAAAGGATTTGGTGTGAGTTTTTTGATCCCTTTGAGGAAAGTTCTTGTCACTTTTTTGCTTGGAATTGGTCAGTGGCTCCTCATCTTCAGTGGCTCCCGGTCTTACTCAGACCAAAAGCCCAAGCCCCTAAAGAGTCTACCAAGTCCTACAGGAACTGGTCCCATGATGTCCTGTGAAAGTTGCTCAGTCATGTCCAACTCTTTGCGACCCCATGGACTCTACTGTCCTTGGAATTCTCCAGGCCAGAATACTGGAGTGGGTAGCCTTTCCCTTCTCCAGGGGATCTTCCCAACCCAGGGACTAAACCCACGTCTCCCACATTGCAGGGAGATTCTTTACTAGCTGAGCCACAAGGGGAGACCCATGATGTCCTACTGCCCCACAATCTATTGTTCCTTTCTGACTCCATCTTTCATTACTCTCCCCAGCCCTCCATTTTCTAAATTTCTTTTAGCTCCCCGACTTGGGATCCAACCCATACCCCCTACATTGGGAGGTATAACTCTCTCACCATCTTTGGACTTTACTTTAAATGCCATCTTCTCATTGAGACTTTCCTCAAATATGGCTTTTATTTTCTTAACATTTTTATATTTAATCCTGATTCCAATTTCTTAATTCTAATTTACAGGGCTAAAAGATATGTATCCATACAATTACCACACCAGTTTGCTGAAGTTTCTCATGGCCCAGGGATTTATCTCAAGAAGATTGAACTTTGTATTTGTGACCTTTGTATTGGTGATACATTAAATTCTTAATTAATAACTATGTACCTTTAAAAGGGGGCTTCCCTGGTGTTTCAGTAGTAAAGAACACACTTGCCAATGCCCGGGACACAGGAGATGCAAGTTCGATCCCTGGAGGAGGAAATGGCATCTCACTCCAGTATTCTTACCAATGTTCCATGGATAGAGGAGCCTGGCAGCCATAGTCCGTGGGGCCACAGAGAGTCAGACGTGACTGAGCACACATGCACCTTTAAAAAGGTGCCCAGAGCCCAGGTCTAGCCCACAACCGTAATAAGAGTTATATTTGTTACCTAAATCTTTCCTTTACTTGTGGAAATGCTATGTCTTTTCCTTCTATTCCAAAGACTTTTTAACTTAATGATTCCTAAAATATGTATATTGTCTTTTTCATCCACCTTTAAAGGTCTTGAGCTTGGTGGGAATCATTAATTCTTTAATATTCTTAGGATTATTATAGATTAAACTCTTACAGATATTTAAAATGTTTCAAATTTATCTTTTATGTATTTATTTTTGGCTGTGCTGGATCTTTGTTGCTGTGTGCGAGTTTTCTGTAATTGTGGCAAGTGGGGGCTACTCTCTAGTTGTATGGGAAATCTCCCCGGGCCAGAGACTGAACCCATGTCCCCTGCGTTGGCAGGCAGATTCCCAACCACTGGGCCACCATGGAAGTCCTCAATTGAATTTTGACTGTCTGCATGAACTAATATAACTAGCTGTTTCAATTTATAAGGTCAATCTACTGAAAAGAAAATTTGAAACATATTACCCATTTTCATGACTTAATCACATACTTTAAGAATAACCTAAACCTTTCCTGATGACTCAAGAATACAATTATGGCTCTTTCCCTCCAAGAAGGCGTCAGAGGCAGACTATACAGCCATGGCCAAGATAAAGGCTCAAGACCTTCGTGGCAAGAAGAATGAGGAGCTGCTGAAAAAGTTGGAAGACCTGAAGGTGGAGCTATCCCAGCTGCGGGTGGCTAAAGTGACAGACGGTGAGGCTTCCAAACTCCAAGATTCTCGTTTGCAAATCCATCGCCAGTGTACTCACCGTCATTAACTAGACTCAGAAAGAGAACCTCAGGAAATCTGTAAGGGCAAGAAGCCTCTGATGCGCGACCCAAGAAAACTCGAGCCATGCACCAAGCTTGAACAGAACCTGAAGACCAAGAAGCAGCTGTGGAAAGAGTGGCTGTTTCCATTCCGGGAATAATGCGGTCAAGGCCTGAGCATCCAGGCATCAATAAAACAAGCAAACTGGCAAAAAAAAAAAAAAGTGCAATTATGAGTGCAAGTTACGTTAATGCTTTGTAGGTGTAAATATTAGTATATCGAGTTGTAACTACCCCAATTTATAGGACAGTTCCTATTTTCTTGGAAAAATTCCTGTATATCACTTCTGTTTTTCGGTCTGGTATGCCTTAATTTAGTTCCTCACCATTTCTTACTTTGACAACTGCATTAAGCCTTTAAATTAATCTCCCTGGCCCTGCCTCTCCCACTATTTCTCCCTGCTGTTTTGGGTTTTTTTTTCAGAGTATACAAACTGGCTCATCATAACAATAATACCTAATAATTATTGAGCCCTAACTGCATGCTGAGCCACTAGGATATTAAAAAGCAAAGATAGCACTTTGCTGACAAAGGTCCGTCTAGTCAAAGCTATGGTTCTTCCAGTAGTCATGTATGGATGTGAGAGCTGGACCGTAAAGAAGACAGAGCGCCAAAGAATTGATGCTTTCGAACTGTCATGCTGAAGAAGACTCTTGAGAGTCCCCTGGATAGCAAGGAGGTCAAACTAGTCAATCTTAAAGGAAATCAACCCTGAATACAATATACATTGCAAGGACTGATGCTGAAGCTGAAGTTCCAATACTTTGACCACCTGATGTGAAAAGCCGACTCATTGGTAAAGACCTTGATGCTGGGAAAGGTTGAAGGCAGAAGGAGAAGAGGGTGACAGAGGATGGGATGGTTGGATGGCATCATTGATTCGATTGTCATGAACTTGGGCAAACTCCGTGAGGTGGCGAGGGACAGGGAAGCCTGGCGCCCTGCAGTCCATGAGGTCTCGAAGAGTTAGACACGACTTGGTGACTGAACAACAAATGGCATGCTAGGTTTCCCAGGTGGCGCTAATGGTAAAGAAATAATGCCTCTCTTGCTAGTTCAGGAGAGGCAAGAGACACTGGTTCCATCCCTGGGTTGGAAAGATCACCTGGAGAAGGAAATAGCAACCCACTCCAGTATTCTTGCCTGGGAAATCCCATGGACAGAGTAACCTGATCCATGGCGTTTCAAAGAGTTGGACATAAATGAGCACACACATGCCCACCTGCTTGCTAGGCATTTTGCATACATTATGGTCTGAAAAAAAGTGCAGGACTTAAAAGAGTGCTGGTTTGGGGTCAGTCAGCCTGAATTCCAATCTCTGTTCACTTGCTTCATGTGCAGTCT